CCTTCCTGGAAGAGAGAAACTGAAAGGCAGAACTGAGAAAGCGCTTTGCTCATTGATCTTGAGAGTTTCAGTGCAGAAACTGACGTGAATTCCCAGCACCGAGCTCTGCCTCTTAAAGGAGCCACCAGGAAATAAAAGCTCGGGTTACAGCCCGGCATCGGGGAAATGAAAGCCGGGCGGGGGAGGGGCCGCCGCGGGGAGCGGGACCCGGGGGAGCGGGGCCGCGCGAGGCCGCTGCGGCGGGAGGGCGGGACGCGAGGGGGCGCGGCGCGTCGTGGCGGACGCTCTGCACCCGCAGCCCCCTTGCGGGCCCCGCGAGCGGGTCTGTCAGGCTTCGCCAGACAATTGCTTCACTCAAGCAAAACACGTTTTTAAAACGTTACATGCCGGCCCCAGAAACTACAAAACAGGTTTTATTCAACGCCGCCCACCTCTCCCGGCACTGTATCTCTCACAGAAACGCACAAGGCTTTGGGGTGGATACCCCTCTACCCCCTTCGCCTTTCTAAGCGCAGAGGCGATGAAAGTAATTATAGACGAGGGGCATTCCGGTAAGGACGCGGAATCCGAAGGAGGAAATAAAACAATAGCCTTTGTTCTGCTTCTCGACCGCTGCCTCTTTAAGAGAATCCACCAGGAAATGGGAGATCGGGTTACAGACTGCACACGGGGAAATGTGGGGAGAGCGAGCGCCCGAGCGCGACGCCCGAGACAAAGCCGGGCAGCCGCGCCGCAGGCGCAGGAGCGCGGCCGGGCCGGGGGATTCCCCGCGAAGGTGGGCGCCGCGGAACGACGAGCCGCGCGCGTCCGCCGCTGGGTGCGGCCCGCAGGCACTGGCTCGCCCCGCACGCGTTCAGGGGAAGGAGAGGCTGCCAGGCACTTATCAAAAGGCAGTTGAGTTCCTTTTCCTGAACCCCCCACCCCCGTTTCGAAATCCACTGTCCTTTTAAAGAAATAGCGGCGGCTACCAACCGAAATAGGTGACTCAACTACAAACTTGACAGGACGTGTTCCTGAAGATAATGCCCCTTCCCGAGAATTCTCTGAAACCGTCTCTGGCCAACTAGCTGCGGGTCCCGGGATCCCTTAGGAGTGAGTGGAGCGGGGCGGAGTGAGGTGGGAATCTGGGATGTCTCCTTGGAAAAACTGTTGAAGGGAAGTTAAAGTCTTGGGACTGAGATTCTAACCTTGAACCCATTTGCCAGATCCTTTATCATCTATTTAAAATTTCCCTGTGTCCACCACAAAATGTAATAAATTGTAATTTTGTTTAAATTCTAAGCCATAATGTATGCCTAGAGATTGAATGTGTATATTTGTATTAAGGTGTAAATATGTACGTATATATGAATACGTGTTTGTGTGTTTACCAGTCTGATATTCCCTGCATTAAATTAGATTTCTTCTATCTTCCTCATCCAAGGTCTGATTTTTCCTACCCACTTTCCCCACTTCTTTGGTTAATGAAATATGTCCAGATTTTTACAAACAATACTTAGGATCACACACTCACCAGCGCAGTCCTCGCTATCATTTCTTGAAAGGGCTAGTGTGGAGCCTCTTTAATACATTATGGCTAAAAGGAACTTTAGTGGGTTAAGAGTTGCGCTGCCAACCCAAAAACAGGCGATTCTCATCCTCAATCTGTTTCACGAGTGAAAGACGACAGTCTCCTCCCAAGCAATTTACAGCCTCTAAAAACACTGGAGCGTTCACGATGAGTGGATTCCAATTCATGGAAATAAGAAGGTGGGAATAGTTTGTGGCAAGTTCAGTTTTCCACAAGAGAGCGAGCTCAGTAGTGTTCACATCATGCCCTCTGCCTTTGCTCATCAGGCCCATCAAGATCAGAGAAGCCATGGTTTCTGCATTGATCATGAAGCTTCATGTGCTGGGTTAAATTCTTTTAACCTCTACACCGCCTATTTATCAATATGCTCTTTTGCAACTCCTTCGCTAAGCTTCTGTAAAATGAAAATAAAAAGTTCCTGTCTTCATCATATTGTTGTAGAAAATGGGAAAATACAAAGAGAACTTGCCACTTATGTGCTCAGTAAGTGCACAATTATTATGTAGCCAGAACAAAATTAACTCTACCCTCTGCAACTGACTCCTCAGAAGTACTCCTTTGTAATAGAATGTCTGTGATTCCAAAACAAAATATACAGTAGCAACTATGGCAGGAGTTGCTTTTAGACCTCTCAATTTTCATTACAGCTGCTCCCTATGGAGTGGCAGTCCCTTTCTGTAAGGGCATGATATTGTTACTGTTGTTAAGTGCTATGAACTGACTCATAGCTGACCCTCCAGCAGTTTTTCAGTCAGTACATCACACAGAAGGATAGTGCCCATCTTTCTCCAGTGGGACAGCTAGTACATTCGAACAGTTTGCCGTTGGGCTGACAGTTCAACTCCTTACTCTTTGGGCCACTAGAATTCCATAAAAGGCAAAATAGTCAACATTTTATACTTCATGAGGGGGAAATTGAGGCTATTATATAGTTATATAGCAAGAGAGAAAACAACATTCTGCAATTTTTAGTTGTCAAAAATCAAAGTATACCTTGGGGTTGGGGAGAGACTGAGTAAGATGGGTTCAATAATGTATACTGCACTGAAACAGAGGAGGGAGAAAACTGTTTAAAAGAGATATAT